ACACTCAGACTTGTTAATCCCCCGCCTCGGCACCCACCCACCCACCCACCCACCCACCCACGCACGCACGCACGCACGCACGCACGCACGCACGCACGCACGCACGCACGCACGCACGCACGCACTCACTCACTCACTCACTCACTCACTCACTGACTCACTCTCTGTCTCTCTCTCTCTCTCTGTGTCTGTGTCTGTCTCTCTGTCCGTCTGTCTCCCTGTCTGTCGTCTGCCTGCCTGCTTGCTTGCATGGCTGCCTGCCTGCCTGCCTGGCCGTCTGGCTGTCTCTCTGTCTCTGTCTTTCTCTCTGTCTGTCTCTGTCTCTGTCTCTGTCTCTGTCTCTGTCTCTGTCTCTGTCTCTGTCTCTGTCTCTGTCTCTGTCTCTGTCTGTCTCTGTATCAGCTCGTCTTCAGTGATAGTCGTTACATGAGATGGCTTTTCCATCGTCCTCCATTATGCGGAAAGCAAGAAAATTCAAAGGATGCATCTCGGGATCAAAACCTAGCGGAGCCCCCGCAAGCCAAGGCGTGGAACTCTGGAAACTTTTATCAACCTTCTTGCATGGTCAAGACCGCACGGTTGCCATTCTGAGCGGGGTGTTTGCATCATTGATGGAGGCATTCATTGCCGGAGTTTCTTCACCGTGAGCCAATGTGCACACAATTTCGGTGTGATTGCTCCAGGTGTCGTTTTTCTCTTTTCTCAGAACAGCAACACTTGAGCGTCTGCATGTGTATGGGTGTGTGGCTTACCACATTGTTGGTCCAGGCCGTAGATGGAGAGCTTGTGCAGCGGCTTCGGTCTGCTCGTGTGGTGCCCGTTGGGAGCCAAGAAGCGATCCCAACACAGATGTGAGAGTAAGACTATAGTGCCTTCTGTGATGTCGCTACTCCTCCGTTTGCAGCTTGAATCCCATCCAACAAGCCTTGTGGTCCAACCACGTGGGTGCCATCGGAATCGACGGTCGATGGCAGTCGCACAACAGCTTCGGTTTGGTCGGAGCCCTTGCGCACCAGAAGGGATCCGCGATGGATAAGTCTTCTCCGTCGTCCGAAGATCTGGACTCGTGGGGCAGAGAGCTTTTTTATGAACTCGCCTGAGCTCTGATTCGTGTTGCATCGAGAGATGATGTGAGGTCCTGGTCATCGAGGATCCCAGCAAAGCGTGCGACTCAGAGGCGTCGAAGCGTGTGAAGCACTCTCCGCATCGCTGTCGCTCGCGGCTCGCGATTGGTCTCGATGCTTCGCAGAGCTTGGCTGCGTCGGTTGAGGAACAACTCTTAAACGGCCAATGCTTGCAAATGTTTTCAGATTTACACTTGTGCCAAAGTCGTTGGTCGTTGGATCCATCTCTTGCGAACCTATGTTGAGCTGTGTTTTTGCGTTGGCTTACTTTCCTTGATTTGCCCAGGCTTCCGAAACTCTTTTTGGAGCACTGGCTTTGCGAAGCAGTTCGATTTGATCGAGAGCGAGTGTGTGGTGTGGTTTTCAGCATGGCGGAAAACTCTTTGTGTTCTTTCGAACATAGCTCTAACATGTTTGTAGCTTATGGGCTTGTTCCTTTACGGGCTTCCTGAGGCCGAAACCATGGCCCGGAAAGGCTTCCTTTTTTGGGACAGTCCTGCTGAAGCTTGGGCCTGGCCCGTATGAGTCATATCATATGAGGGATTGGCTACCTTCCCATCCGTCCACGGCTGAGGCAACCTGGCAAAGTCCAGGTTTCGCAGGCCACGGGCACCGTAGCAAGAATTCACCTAGGGGAACATCAACGACAGTACAGAAAAACTGTCAACCTTTGAATCATACGCAAGCTGTTGTTGGAATTTCGCCCGGTCGGTTTTCTTTCAAGCGTCGTTTTTGAAACTTGCTTGCCTTTTGGACCCATTCTAGAGTCGTCTTTTCAATGAGTTCGTAGCGAACGCTGAGAGAAGGTTTTCATGGCACCACTGCAAGACTGATTCGGGTGGTCACTCCTGTGTCTACCGCTTGGCCCAGGCAGCCGCGCTTGCCAAAGCCATTTATGACGGTGGTTTTTCCGTTATTGAGGCTTGGTGGGCATTCCCGACCCATGCTGTGCTTGTCGGTCGGACCGTGGCGGACATGCCTAAGGTCGCCTTCCGAAGTGGTAACGCCGAAGCTACTTGGACAGATGCCAAGGGTGAAAGCAAGCATGAGTGTCTTGCCGAGGAGGTCTTGCGTGAGATGGCGGCCGCGGAGCCTCGTGTACACTTAGGACAGACGGGCAAAATGCAGCAAGAACTATGGATTGAGGCGATGGCGGTTTCTACACTGCGTCAGGAGCTGGCTCAGTCTTGACTACAGACCAAGCAGCTGACGCCCTTGGCTTATGCGCGCATGGCTTCAGAGTGGGCTTCTTCTCATGCAATGCTTCGCAGCCACTTTCGCTCAAATCGGTTCGTGTCCTTCTGAAAACAGTGAAGTCCCTGTCAACAATGAGTGCTCGGGCCAAAGGGCAAGGTGACCTTGAGACCATCGAGTGGCTTGGTGGCACTTGCGGTTACGAAGCGAAGCGACGTGAAGCAATTCCAAACGTTCCCGCAGGCTTTGCCATGCAAGCGGAGCAACTGCTCAGGCAGGATTTGCGAGATGTCAAAACCGTGGCAGGCAGTGTTGCTGCTGAAGTGGGCCTGAGGGCATTGAGGTCAAGTCGATGGAAGTATCATTGTACGAAGCGCAGTGAGCAAGCACACACTGGCAGAGCCGGCAGTACTGCGCCGCGGCGCTGTCCAGATGTTCGCTTCAACGCAAAGGGGTTATCCTGCCCAGCCGATGTCTCTGTGTGATAAAGTTTGCCCTCAGGTTTACTTGTGGGGTGCCACGCTTACCAGCTACAAAACCGCAGATGGCACAGAGCGCTTCTTGGCTTCATAGGGCCGTCTGTTGTGTTGCTGTGCAGAGCATTCTTACCTTGTCGACTTAATCTGCCGGGATTGAGGAATATTCGTGTCACCTGGAGCTCTTTTTGACGGCAAGAAGGTGTCGCTCCGTCAGCCGGACAGTGCCAGGCATTTCTTTGCCGGAGGCCATACGAGGTGGAGTACCGGTTGTTTTTCCACAATTTGGCCAACCGGACAAGGTGCTTTGACGGCTTGTCGGTTCTTCCGTCTTCTTCTGTCTTATGTGGAATGTAGGGTATTGTCACACGGAAGGCTATGGCGCAGCACGGATTCGCGCGAACCAGCTTCTGGTCAGTGGCCTCGATAGAGGTCTCACTCTGCATCTGTAGGTCCCAATATGTCCCAATCATCCAGCACTTTTTGGATGTTCATCACCTTGCAGGACAGTCCGGAAGCAGCGGGTAGCTTATGCCTCTCGGCTGACCACTTGTTGCAGTGTTACTCCTGTGCACCAAGTCGACAGTGGTGCTCGCACTTGCCGACAACGAGGCCTTCAGCTAGGCTTTGTTGAAGCCTGCCCTGGCATGGAACTGAAATCTGCGACACTAGGCCACGAGGTCTGTTTGGAACTTTCCGTTCAACTTGGAGTACGTCGTAAGTCTTTCGGCTGCCGCAGGCTCAGCGGAAAAAGGCAAAGAGCAGGCGATCTGTCCTTGTCGAGTGAGGTGTCTTTGAAGATGACGCTGAGAATAAAAAACACAGGGGACGAGCCTCGGCCACAAAAACACTTGAAGCCGAAGCTTTCCTTTTTGAGAAGGAGAGCATGCTCTCAATATCCAGCGAAGGTCGCCTTTCCATTCCAGGCCCTGTTGCACACTTACTTCCGGGTGCCCGAAGTTCAGAAGGCGGGTATTAGAGTGAAGGCATGCACCATAGCAGAACTATTCGCTTCTTGCGTGCCTCTTTCCGTCTTTCTGGGCTGGAGGTGGCGGTGCGGGGCCTTGGAGGCCGCACGTACCTTGACAAGGCCACCTTACTGCATAGAAATCATGCATACTGGTTCTCAGGCCTCACATACCAGCTGTTGGTGTGAACACAGTCTATGCACCTTCGTGCTTCCTTTCATGTGCCCCACATGTTTCTGTGACGAAGTGATCGTAGCTTTTTCGGATTTCATGAGCGGAAGGGCCCTGGTAGGATCGTCTTCAGCAGCGGGTCTCCTTGTTCATTTTCTTCACTCTCTGGCCGACTCCGGGCCCTTACCTCTTCCGGATCCCTTGCCGTGCTTGGATCCTGACATCAGCTGGCACTGGCCTTCACTTCTGCTGGGAATTGGGATTGGGTTTCTTGGCTGGCCTCTTCTTGAGGTGCTTTTACTGGTCCGGGCCTTAGTCTTTCGAGCTCTGACTCGTCGCCTCGGCGGCGGCCCGAATTTCCTTTACCGGCTGCTGTGAATGAGCCTGGCTTCTCGGGTGGACTCCCTTGAAGATCGGGTTTTTGCTTTGGAGGTAGCGGTTCAAAAGCTGATTGCCCAGGCTGGTGGGTCGGACACTTCAGACTACCAAGTAGTCGAGCAAAGCCCTCGCAATTCCCCTCGCCCTTCAGGTTTAGGCCCTAGTCCCGATCCCCGAGCCTCGGCCTCTCAGGGTACCCTAAGGTTTAGGCCCCAGGTCCGTGAATCCCCTGGCTCCGCGGGCGATTCCTCTTTAGGGTTTAGTCCCGAAACCCGCCGCACCTTAGGGTTTAGTTCCTCTAACCCTTCAGGTGTGCCTCCCCTGCCCTCGCCCGAGGCCGCTGTGTCCAGCCGAGAGCGAGCCGCGGCTTGCCGAGAGATTGGCCTTTTCCTTAGGCGTGCAACGGACGGTGAACATCGCGGAGCTTCTGGCCGCGACAGGTTGCCTGGCGCTTCGAGGTATTGGGTTGTGACTCGGGATTTCTCAGGTTCTCTGCTTAAACCTGTTGGCATCTACTCGCGCTTCGGGGATTGCAAGAGCTTGGTGAAGAGAGGGTCGGATTTGGGTGAGAGTGTTTGCATCGGGCTCCCTTCCCGTGGCGACGTGATTGCTGTGCTGAACGCGGCTCAGATCACCTTGCCCGAGCGTTGGTGAAATGTCTGGTGACGAAGGAGGTGAACCGCTATGCCCCCGGGATGCTTTGGCTGGAGGCGAGGACTTTCGAGACCTGGAGTGCCCTCTTGCGCTTGTTCGATGTGGAAAGCAGGAGGATGGCAGCGAGGTGGCCGTAACCGCGGTGGTTGTAAAAGAGCACGAGGGGAAGCTGGTGCTGGCCATCCCCGGTTCGATGTGGCACCGGCAGGTCTCGCGGAGGACGTTGCCAAAGGGTTTCCTGACAAAGGTCGGGGCAGCCGATGTCGCGGCATGCGGGTCAGCATTGAGGACCGAAGCTCTGGAAGGAGCCTCCGTTCGAGTATGGCTCGGCTTGGTGGAGCCGTCGGCGGAGGGTGCCATAGAGATCCCGGACGAGCTCCCGGACACAGCCATCGGCTTCGGCGAAGTAAGCCCTGGAATCCCTGCGTTGCCTTTTGTGCCGGGCTTGCTGGCCGCTGCCGAGGACCACTTCTCCTTTGCCACGGCCGAGTCTGCAAGAGCACCGGAAAAGGAGCCAGTCAGTGCTCGGCTGGCCCGCCTCGAGCTGCTTGTGGAAAAGATGGCGAATTTGCAAGGGGCTGCAGCAAGACCGAAAGCAAGGGCAAAGCAAAGAGCGGCTGTAGTGACGGCGGCCCCCGGCGGCGACTTGGATCCTTCAGTGGTGGCGGCCGCCAGGGCTGCCGGGGTTTCCGAGCGAGCGTTGTCCGAGATGGAAGGCCTCATCAGGAAGGCCAAACCCACCAGGATGAAAGCCGAGCCTGCGGCACCTACTTTGAATCCCCACGAGGACCCTCTCGAGGAGAGCGAGGAGGACGAGGATGCAGTCGGAGGCGGTGCTGGATTGGCCGAGGGCATGGACGTTGGCCCGCCGAATGCCCCGAACGAGGAGGGCAAGCAGGCCGAGGCCTTTGCCGCGGCGATGTTCCGCATGATGGAAGGCTTTCAGCGTTCTGCTGCAAAGGGCTCTTCTCCTCTCGAGCGGGCACTGGAGGGCGCAGGGTCTGGATCGGCCGACGGCTCCAGCATCCCCGGTGCCAGGAGGAACTCGGCTGCCCGCAAAGCCCTTCGGGATTCTCTTGTGCACAATCCGGAGGAGCTCACCAGAGTGATCGAAACTTTGATGTCCGAGGATCTCTCTTCGGCAGCGCCTGTGCCAGGACAAGTGTCGGCCCGAGCTTGGGTCGAGTACCGCTCGAAGATCGGAGCTTATCCTTCGTCGGTGTGGGCCACTTGGATAATTGCAGGAGCCCTGGATTGCTTGCGGAGCAACCGACCTGCTCAAGCTCGTGCGAGGCTCAACTTGGGTCTTCTCATGTTCGATCAAATGAGCATAGACAAAGGTTCCTGGGTGATGGCAGCAGAACTTGCGCTCGAGAATCAACCGCCGTTCCACTCTTTCAAGCAGCACGAGTTTCACAACACGGGGCTTGTTTACAGCCGGCTGCTGGATCCGAGGTGGTCGGAGGTGGCGATCAGCCATTTGAAGGACCAGGCGGAGTTCATCAACAAGCGAGCTCAGCTAGGCCGTGCCCAGGCACCGAGTGTGCCAGCAGACCCTCCCGACGAGGACAACGCCGCTCCCGCGCTCAGGCGGCGGCGCCAGAAGACCGGAAAAGATGCATGAGGGACAGCGCTAAAGGCTCCGAGGCCCAGCCCTTTGAAGACTCGTGTCGAGCGTCGCCGCCCCCACCGGGGTCTCGGGCCCCTGCTTTCTCCGTCCCTTCTCTTCTGAATTCGCTGCCGCGGATCTTGTTGAGGTTCGCCGGCTCTTTTGCTTCATTTCTTCGTTCCTCGCTTGCAGACGGCGCGCGAACCGTGCCGACGTGCCATGCTTGGCCTTGCCCCATGCCGCATCCTGAGGTTTTCCGTGAGCCGTGCGGGCGCAAGGGGTGGAAGCTGAAAGGCTTGTGCCTCACTGTTGCTTGCTTGTCGTGGTTGTACCTAGGCAAGCCGGCTGTGTGCCCTGCGGAAATAAGATGCGGTGTGCCTTTGAATCGTGCTCAGAAAAGCGCTGTGCGGCGGCTGGAGGCTGCCATGTTTGGTTCGAGTTTTCCCTTTTCTTTCGCAGCCGCCGATCTCGGGCGGCATGCCTCTAAAGTTGAATCGCAGAACGATGTGCTGGCCGCGTTGGCCCGGGCTGCTGTCAGCCTCAATCTCGGAGGAGGGTACACCGGTGTTAGCCCCGATGTGTGCGTTGAGGGCCCTGCCAGTCAGAGCAGGGTGTTCGACTTGGGTGACCGTTCGGGCTCTGTTGCTTGTGGCGAGCTGCCTGGGAACCAGCCTACTGTTGCCATGCCCATCGTGGCTGACCGGATCAAGCTGCCGGGCCCTCCTAGTTTTCGGCCGCAACGGTTCATGGACGGGCCGACTGCGGCGCGCTACAATCGACCTTTGGACTTTTGCAAAGATTGCAACGAGTGCCCCCCGCCTCCTAAGGTGAAAATTCTTGCCAGTGTTGCTGATAGGCTCGCTTTGTTTAGAGCCTTGGCCGACACAGGCCGGCTGAAGCCGTGGCACCATCCTCCAGGGCGTGAAGCTTTCGGAGCCGGGCTTTTTGCCGTTGGCAAGAGCGAGGTCAAGGACCGTCTCATTCTGGATGCCAGACCGGCAAACATGCTGGAGGTTGGCTCTTCGGTTTGGACGCGTGCTCTTGCGTCTGCGGTTGCCGTAAGCAATCTGATCATCAGGCCAGGGTTCACCATGCTGTGTTCAGGTGCCGACTTGCGGGATTGTTTTTATCAATTCATTGCCCCCGATGGGCGAATTTCAAGAAACATGCTCGTGGGGAGCCTTGATCTCGGGCAAGCCTCCTATGTCTTTAGGCGGGACATGAAGGACGCCTGTGATGAGCATGGCCGGGTGTTTGTTGCTTTCGCTTCGCTGGCCATGGGAGACAGCGGAGCTTGCGAGTACACTCAGTGCTCCCACCTCGGTGTGCTGGTGAAGGCCGGCGCTGTGAAGCCGGGCGAATTGCTTGTGCACGCCGCGGCCCCTCCTCGCGGGCTCTTATCCATTGGCTTGGTGATTGACGACTTGGTGTGCTTGGATCAAGTCCTCACTTCGGACCTGCGGGCCATCAGCCAAGGGACTCAGCAAACCATTGGGGGGAAAAGGCTTTCCCTTGCCCTCGAGGCCTACCGTACTGCCCCGCTTGAAGTCTCTGAGGATAAGACGTTCCGTGACCAAGTCACTGCTTCTTTTTGGGGCGCTTCCCTTTGCGGTGCATCGGGCTGGTTGAGGCCCAACCCTCACCGCCTGTGGCCCCTGATCCTCATCACCTTTCGGACCGTTGAACTTGGCTTGGCAACTCGTCACCTGCTCGAGTCCTTGGCCGGTTGCTGGATTTCGATCTTCATCCTCAAGCGAAGAATGCTCGCTGCCATGGACTTGATTTTCAAAGCTTGCGCGAGCGGGACTGCCAACACCATCATCCGGCTATCCCCGGAGCTTCGTTCTGAGCTTGCCTCTTTTGGCCTTCTGGGGACTATCTGCTGCACTAACCTTCGTGCCCAAGTTGATGCCACCATCACGGCTACGGATGCATCCTCCAGTTGGCAAGCTGCTGTGCGTGCCGAGGTTCCTCAGGTTGTTGCCGAGGAGGCTTATCGGCACAGCGTGCAAAAGGGCGCCTGGACGCGTCTCCTTTCGCCTCAGGGCGCCTGGCTGAAGGAGCGAGGTCTTCTTAGTGACTCGGATGAACTCCCAGGGGGTGACCAGTATGAGGCGTTGCCTCTTTACGTGGGCCTTGCTCAGTGCGCGGCCTACAAAGAGCTGTGGCGCAAACCTTACAAATCGAAGGTGCATATCAATGTGGCTGAGTTGGATGCGTGCCTTAGAGAAGAAAAACGGGCGGGACAGCGTCGCCCCAACGCTCGTTTCGTGTTTGCCCTTGACAGTCAGGTAGCCATAGGATGCGTGG